ATAAATCTGGAAAAAAAATCTTGGAGAAAAAAAAAAGGCAAAAACTTCGATCACAACCCGTGGGGTGTGTCATAGAAAACCCCCTCGGGGTAGGGTTGGGACAAGAGCAGGCTACCAACGAGATCTTTCTCAGCTGGACTCCCGACCACTTCTGTCGTAGCGGGATATTACCGCCCAACCATCAAGCTCTAGGAAGTAGTTCAGCCGGCGCTCAGGTGTCAGGGGCTGAAAATCTACCGGCACAACATCCATTTCGCTAGGCTCTATGCTGCGTTGACAAGCTCCACATTGACACTACTCGAGGACTTGGTAGCAGCAATAAGAGGCAGAATGAAAATCACCTATTTTTGAAATTCAAGCTGATCTCGGAAATGTCGTCGGCTAAGTTGTCCGGAAAGCATTCCGGGCTCGGTGTGCGGTACGATACGTTCTCCGGCGTGTCTATTGCCAGGAGTAGAGTGTTAAGTTATGTTGCGATAAAATGTACGGAGCATTTCTTCACCGGATCTGGAAGGTGAGCTGTGGTTTCCAGTTGCCTTCTTCCTGTTCTTGAAACTTTCAATTCGCTCTGGACGTATCTGGCTTGATCAGTGAAAGAATACTGTATCCTTGCTCTCTTCCCTCGATCTTTTGAGAGCTTTGGCGATGATTAATTCCATGTCGTGCTTGGATAAGTTCTTCTCGAATCTCCATTCCTTCAGCTTCATCTTCCACTTTCTTGAGCTGTAGGATCAGACTTAGTAAGTCACAGTATAGACTTGAAGGATATCAACCGACCTTGCTTTGAAGCCACTATTTGCTTCAATCATCTGTATGGTTGCATCTAGAGTCTTGTCCTCCTCTACGTAAAAGCGGTAGATATCATGCTTATAAGCATCCCACTTTTGGTCATTCTTCGTACGTGTTGATGATTTTGAGGCAACCGTCAAAGGTAAATTCATAGAGCTTGTGGATTGTAAATCGAAATGTACAGTGCTGCGAGGCATGATGACAGGGGCTGAGGTTCGTAAAGATATGGCAACTGAAAGGCTTATTTGCTCCGGAGGATCCTTGACATGGGAACATACAGGATGAAGGAGAAATTAGAGCATTGCAAGCGAATTTCAAAAAAATTTTCAGGCGTGAGAAATGTGACAGTTCCACGTCCTTACGGCTATTGGGGAAGCTGTCAGCCGTACACTGTAACAGAAGGTGCAAAATAGAAAAGACCCTTGCTAATTAGGCAATAGAGCTGGAAAACCTATGACTAGAAACCTATCAACGATAACCTCAAAAGTGCACCTAGAAATAACAAGAAGGCGGAGGTGCTGACAAAAGATTGCAGTGCCGGGATGCATTGCACGGGCGCATGAATTTGAGGCGAACCAAAGGGCATTTTCAATAAGTCCCATTCTTCAAATCTGAATGAAACGAACCAAGAAATGCAAGAGCATTTATAGAGATGCCCTTGATCTCAACTACAATACAATACCACTCCGTACATAAAGACTGGGAAAATATAAGGACTATGGATCATTCCGTACCGGTCACGTGTGTAATAAACTAATCGCTCTTAAATTCAACGTCACTTTATGGAGCTAGACGAGCCTCCACGAGACGGAACGGTACCGATGAAAAACGACATCCAACAGGTGTACGATATCTGCTTAGGCCGCTATTGCAAATAGCGGTGGCATTGCATCATACGACAATCATTGATGTAACATCGAAGGAGCAGACTCAATCATAGTAATGCCACAAGGCGGCTCTTGGATGAGGAACAAGAACAACAACACGTACGCGCGGTTACTAGCCAGCAGAACGACGACGTTGATTGAAACGAGCAAGAGAAGGCAGAGGCCATACGACGACACCCGAGGGTTCACTAGTGAGGACTCGTCGCCTACCATCTATTGTCCATTGGGACATTGGAAAAACGAGCAGACCAGCCGAAGCAAACAAGTTAGCCATGTACTCCAGCTAGAGTATGAGATGCGATGAGCACCGGTGGTCTTGGAGTAGGTATATGATGAGTCTCGGGTATGAAAAGGGGTTCGGCAACGTCCCCCTCTTTGTGGTTAGCGCCCAACCTTTATACGGTATACGGGATCTCCTTCAAGAGTGTGGGGAAAGCTTTCCTCGACTCTTCAGCCACACATAGCTCAACATCCCTAAACAACCACACGGCCAGCCCTCAGACGTATATATTCGAAATCTGCGAAAGCATCTCGGGCTCTAGGAGAGATTCCCGGCACACATACTACAGTCATCGGGAAGGGTCTGGATAGGAACGAAAGGCAATATGCCTCCACAGCGGCCGTTTTCCTCGTATGTCAAACAGTGATGAAGCTACACAGGAGCCGCTTGACCTTGGGGAGCATTCCAGAAGAGTCGATTGCTGATGGCCATGTCCGGTTCCAGGCGTCAGAAAGGCCCTCTCGTCATAACCGCCATAGGGGCCGGCGCTCTTTTCATAGGGTTGAAATGGAAAGCCGTCCTGGCGAGGAGTGAGGCCGCGAAGAAGACCAGCACAAAAGAGAACTACAACTATTCAGTGGCGCCGGGAAGGAGTGGTAAGAGCTCGATCCGCCATTCGAATATCAGAATATCAATCGGGTGAGGCTAATTGGTCATTCTGGGTAGGTGGCGGCGTGTGAACGACGTCCAATATCGGAATAACGAAATCTCCCGAGCACGAACGATTCATTTAGAAGGCTGTACGGAGAAGAGGCTCAAAAAACACCGGCACAATATAGTAGCGCCTGGTCATAGTACTTTTGATGGCACAGGGGTTGGCGGCGAACGCGATCTTGGAGCTGGCAACAGATAATGATAACGTACTGTACAAAACGAAACCTCCGTTCTAGACTCCCAAAAACAATCCGAAACCACTTGGTAGTATCTGAACCCTCGAAACGCACTCTGCTCTTTGCCCAGTATACAACCGCTGATCTTGTTGTGCAAAGCAAAAGACGCCCCGTTCGCTCAAATGCTCCAGCCGATCGAGTTCAAACTCGCTAGACCTGCTCGTTTCCCTTCCGTCTGTCGTCGAACCGACCCAATGCCCACACACAGGTAAAACAGCCGACAAATACAATCGCACTCCCTATAAACGGCAACCTGGTCAACAAATAACCGCTCCCGACAACTTTCGCAAAGACACCAGCCCAAGCTGCCGAAGCTATTATGCCGGCCATCATCTCGGCCATTCCAATCCCCAAATACAACTGCTCAACCTCCTCCTTGTTTCTGATTACCCCCGTCACATAGCTTCTTAACGCATCCGTCATGCCATACGACAGATTCCATAGAGTGATAGCGAGAATGTATCCAACCCTGCCTGGTGCAAACCCCATCCAGATAACACCGAAAACATGCCCCAAAGTGCATATCTTCGTAACATAGAGATCGACATCCAAGACTGAGCCTCCGAAGCGGGGTTGGAGCAATCGACGGGAGATGGCGGGCAGCGTCAGGAGAATGACGGAAGCCACCGACATCTCATAGGCGTTGATGGCGTTCACCTGAGCAATGACCCAGCCATGCGTGATACATGGCCATTGCTTGAGAATCACGTCAATGCTAGTGCCTGCTCTGAACGAAAAGAATGCCAAGAGCGTTGTCCGAGAGAGAGGCGAGGAGTACAGCATTTCTCGGAAAAGTTCTAGAGAATGTGTTGTGCTTGCTGTCAGGCCGCTCAGCACGATCCAGACTGTCCCCCCTTCGGGTTCGATGGCTAGGGGGACTAGTGGGGTACCGGCAGGGCTGATAAGGGACGAAGTTTCCGTGGATTGCTGGAACTCACTGCTCGAGAAGTTCGATTTTGTCTCCGGCTGGGTCGACGCTTTCCCCGAATTTGGGAACATGAAGCAGACCGGAATGGCGATAATGAGGGTGACGAAGCCGACAAAGATTTGCAGCCAGACATTCTGCCGCAGAAGGAAAGAGCTCAGCCATAGGCCCACGAACGATATAAGCATCTGTGAAGCGCTCAGCTTGTAAAAGACGTGGCTCCTGACATCAGTCAGTGACAGAATCCCACAAGCGGAAACCTTCCTACAATTCATCTTGGTCGACACTCTCTGAAACATAGGCGTAGGTAAACGACGACCGAATTATCCATCCGCCACCAAGGACGTCGAACAGAGGCGTTGTATAGATCCATCTTACGTCAAACACCTGGTGATAATAGCCTGACGCACAGTCAGTAAGCGGTACAGCATTTCCTTTTCAGGGGTCATCCACTTACAAACAGCAGCGAAGAAGATCCCCGAAAATCCCAGGCTTCCCATGTTCAAGATCAAAACCGGCTTCTTCCCTATCACCCTCCCAATCTTACCATACGGACCCGCCAGGAACAATGCTGCATGTTGCTTAGCTGCTTGACATCTGAACCGTACACGCTGGACTCACCCGGAACGTATGTGAGCATCTTGTAGATCCCATACGTCGAAGCAACCTTCGACTGGATATTCGGAATCTTGCAAATCGTCTCGTCGATGAGGCTTCCACCCCCCATCCCGATATTCTCCAGTGACGCATAGTAGTCCCTGCATATAGCTTGCTCAATCAGGTACACATGAGCGCTGGAATGCAAAATCGCGCCCAGAGAGCTCAACGTCATAATCAAAGCCGCAGGGACCAGAGCCGACCTTCTGTCTGGCACCCCGGAGACCCTACTCTTGAGCTCCTCGGGCATATCGGAAACCCTCCTCTTGAGTTCTCTGAACATCTTGACCAAGGCGCGCTTCACTTTGGAGGTGCGAAAAGAGGAGAACGAACGACAGAGGAAGATGAGAGCGAGCGAGAAAGGGACAGAGCTTTATTATTATTTTTTTCCCCCTCGAGGGCAAGAATGCCATTTACATACGTCCTTCTTTTGCATGCCTCAGTATATTGACACGCGAGAGAATATGAGGCAGAAGCGACAACCCAGCGAAAAAAGAAAACCACGCAGAGGCTGGGTAACACGAGATAAGGAAGGACCGCCTCCCCCCCATTGCCGTGCTATCTGCTGATACCCCCACCGAATGATTGAGCAGACTTCTCGACACGTCACTTGCGACTGCTGCTGCTGCACTTCTCGTGCCCGAATCCAAAGGACTTTCCCGACGATGGTGGGCGATCCGGCGATGATCGGTCAGGCTGCTGCTGCTGCTGAAACATTTCCTCTCCTTGTTGAGCTTGAGAGTTGCTGGTGGGTGTGTATGCGTGTGAGGCATCCATCATCTAAGAAAAAAAAAGAGGGTGCCAAAAATCCAAGAAACGAAAACGCGTCCGTCCAGTGACAGCCGCCACCACCACCCATCGGCAACCTGCATAGTGGCATAGCGAACCGAGCCAGCCACACTTGCATCTGCATCCGCGCTTCTTCTTCTTCATCTTCCTCCTCCTCCTCCTCCTCCTCCTCCTCCTCCTCTCCTTCTTTCTTCTCTTCCAAACGGCGCGTGACCCCCTCCCTGCATGTCCCCCACGCGTCAGAGGTATAGGTTATACATACCGTTGCGGTGGGTGGTACGGTACGGTGGTACGCTGGTACGGCACGGTGGGTGGCTGTTGCAACGCAACGCAACAAATAGTATAACGCGTGGACCGTTGGCGTTGCAGGGCAGGGCAGGGCAGGGCAGGGCAGGGCAAATCCCAGCCCAATCAACACAGCCCTAGGAACCGAGAAAGAGCGATGGACACGGTGCGTGTGTGTGCGTGTGTGTGTGTGCGTGTGTGTGTGTGTGTGTGTGCGTGTGTTTTGGAGGCGAGGCCCTCTCTCTCCCGATCTCCTCCCGATAACCAAGGTGAGGAGAGAGTCGTCGACGACTTTCTTCGCGGGGCC